TTTGCGGAAACAAAGCTGTTTCCACTTCAGGCAGAAAGCTCAGTATGAGCAGTCTCTCGCTGTCTGCTCTGGCTGCTGTACTAATGTTCTCAGTCATGATGAAGATGCTCATTTGCTCCAGCTCCTCTCCACGGTCTCTCTAGTGAGAGAAATCCTGGGCCAAGGGGTCATGAAGAGGGAGAAATCACAGACACTCTGGCTTAAAATTCCTGAGTAAAACAATGAGTTGCATGTGTAGCAGATAACTAACACTAAAAACTAACAGAGATTTAGCCAAAAAGACAATGCACAAGCTTAAAAACATACACACATTTACTTTTTAAATATGTTTTTTATATGTAGCCTATTATGTCAGCATTTTCACAAGTGCTTTCAGGCTATTGGATCCTTACATTGGAGATTCTATATATATATATATATATATATATATAAAGATAGATAGAGAGAGAGAGAGAGAGAGAGAGAGAGAGAGAGAGAGAGAGAGAGAGAGAGATAGATAGATAGATAGATAGATAGATAGATAGATAGATAGATTTATATACTGTATATCAAACTACTGAAAGCTGAAAACTTGTCCTCTCTCACACACTGCTTATGCAATCTTCCATTTAAACAAGGAAAATAACCACATTACTTTAACTGTTTTTGGGCTGTTTTCTTTATAGGAATACTGCTTGAGGGTTGAATCAGATGACTCATGGTAATTTGCTAAAAAAACACAAAAAGTGTAAGGAAGAAAACTTTTATTTTTAGTTGTGTAATAGTTGCTCAGCTGTTTTAAAGGGGGGTTGACTGTTTTTTTTTATTTGCATGATTGTGTTTATGGGGTGCAATATAACATGTATTTGTGTTTTTTTCTTTTTTTTAAAGTCTTATTTTTCATAAACTTCACCTTTATTGTCAGCCGCGCTCTCCTCTGTCCTCGAACGACCGGTCGACTTCCTGAGTCTATGAAACCGCTCCCTCAGAAACAGGCAGTGGGCTCAGATTGGTTAGTTTGGCCCGGTGTGTTGTGATTGGCTAAACTGTCGCTCACGTTGTCCGGAAGGTTATCGGCCATTACCTTTACGGGCGAAACGTGCATGCCATGAGCTCCGGTCCAGATGTAAATATGTGTCGAACTGCAGTATCAGTTTGAGGTAAAATCAGACCGAGAAAGCGGCGATGAAGAGAGTCAAACAGAACCTCACCACACACGGCTCTTACTAAACATTTCTGAATGATAATTTGCTACATTTTTTTACTTTATACACGTTTACACAATAGCATCTGACTGGCAACAATAGCAACTGACTGGCTACTAATGTTAAACACAAACAGCATTGGTATTTACGTTCTTGATCAAATCGAAAATAACGTCATAAAGCATATATACATGAAAAATACATTTACAACATTAGTACTTATACAAAATTCAGGTCCATAATGTTTGTATGCGTTTGTCGTAGACACAAAAGAGCATAACTAGTAGCCTAGTGGCAATAAAGCCAGCGCTGGCATTTGAAAAAACTAAAACACAAGGCTACGGAATTATACATGCAAATAGATTTAAAATGATTAAGTCTTAGCCTACTTACAGGTTGTGGCCCAACACTGCTGCCTCTGGTTTTAAATTTGAAACTGCTTAGTAGCAGTTTTAGTAACAGTTTCTTGTTGAATCCGGCATGGAATTCGTGGAGATTCTGGAAGCTGTCTTCCGTAAAATGCGCAGCACAGAGAGCTAGATTACGATCGTCATTTTCAGGAACATAATCAAACATAAATTGTATCGTAAATTGTATGTAAAGACTGCTGCATTTATGTCCTTTTGCCACAACCAGACCGGTAACACTATGTGCATTTAGTCATTGAGCAAATTGTAGACAACATGTATGCCTAATCACATGCAATTTTCTTAAAGCAATAAGAAATTCAAATCTGATATGAACAAGAAATTAATTTTGAAATATTGTTAAGAGATTTGAACTTGTTTTGAGAAAAACGATAACTTTCAAAAAGGATTTGTGATGTAATGTTTTTTTTAAAGGTGTTGCAGGGTAATCACTTTGCTTTATAATAGTATTGATATTTATAATATTGTTGTTTAATCATACTGCTGTTTATTGAGCAGAGATGAATCATGGAGCTGGTCTGACCTTTACCCTCTTACATGGCAAACATAATTTTGAGAATGTACAGTAAAGGCATGTATATATACCATACCATATGACTTTAATATAATTTAGGCATATGGAATTTGGATTTTACATTCAATTAACTCATCAAAAAGCACATAATGTACAGTATATCAGCATGTAATATGTTCAATTCAAAAACGTTTAAAACTACTTGGTTACACAAGGGTCATAATTTCAGCCATTGTCCATTAAATGCCTTTGTCTATGGCAGCAACTCATCAGCCAACTGATGACAGAACAGGAAGGTTAAAGTGTACGATGATGAATAAAAGTCTTTTTAGTCACATTGTCATTGGCTTCCCACTGTCTGACTCACTGCACACACCGATGACTGATCTATGTGAAACCCCCTTGTGAGAGTTTACTGGGCCAAGGCTTTACGCTTATTCAGACATGATGATTCACATGAAGTGATCGCGCACACGAGAAGATCGTGTGCATCTCACTGCGTGCTTTCTCCAGGTGCCTTCCCAGAGTAAAAGCTGAAACTCCTAGGGCTGTGAAATGCAGGATGAATCAGTGTTGATGGGCGGTATAGCGTGAGGATGCAGGAACTGCCTGGGTGTTTAGTGTTTACATCAAATGCACCTGGATGCACCTGTGGGTCTGAACCATAGACTGTAAAAAATGACGGTCTTAGTGTCCGTGACGTCACCGGTTGGTTTCTGAAAAGCATTTTTTGAAAAACAAAGTGGTCGTACTCGTAGCTGGCCGTCACCACTTCCAGATAAACTGAAATGGGCATAGAGGCAGATTAGCTGAGGTGACGTGATGCTAACAGTCAGCAGAGACGTAACAACGGCTAGTAGTAACAGCAGCGGCAGTCCACCTGTCAATCAAGTGGCCACGCCCTTAATTCTGCAGAACTTTCAGGCTTAATATAATTGAGAATTATGAGTTATAAAAAAATTCACCCTCCTCACAGTTGTCAAATAGGGCAAAATTACATATATATTACAGCTGTAAAGTTGGCCATTGTAACATGGACGTCTATGGGATTTAGCCTGTCTCTAGCGGCCAGTCAATGAATTGCAGTTCAAGTCAATTCCACGTTGGTTTCAAGAGAGAGACAGGAAGGTTTCCGCTTGGTATGAACACAATAATGAAGATTGCCTGTGCATATCTGAGAAAACATTTAGCTAACTTTACATGTACATTTATCTGATGCTTTTATCCAAAGCAACTTACAATTGCTATATATGTCAGAGGTCGCACGCCTCTGGAGCAACCTTCCCTAGGGACACATTGGCGTCTCACAGTGGATTCAAAACTGGGACTCTCACACCAAATCCATGTGTCTTATCCACTGTATGTGCCATCACCACCTCTAAAGATAGTTGGATAGTTTTGCTATCTTTGCTCCATACGTTAGGGAACCTGGGCTCTAGTGGTCAGCACACACTGTGCACGACGGCATACGATTCCCATTTATCAGATTACACTTTATGCACTAAGGGCGGGCCTTCTACACTAGCCCATCTGACCTGGTTCATAATATACTGTACACCTGGAAGTACAGAATGCAGTAATTACAATTTGTTTCATCTATCAGCGAAATAATTCAATAATCCTAACATGATGTAAAAACAACACTTGAGTTGTGTTTGCGTGTTTGCAACTCATTTTCAGTCCCAAGTCAATACTACAGTTTGTCCAAGATATACAGGTGCCAAAAGCGTGTTTTTTGACACAGCCAACAGCTCATTGCTGCAATGAGACATCTTTTAATGTACTCCCACAGTGATGAAAAAAGTAATCATTTTTTAATGATCACAAAGCTAGATCATTTTGCTTGCTAAAATGTGGGGTTTTCCAATGTATTTCCATCTAAAGATTTATTATATACTGATTGTGCATTTACTGTAATTCTAAACGACAGTTGTTCCTGTATCCGAAAAAGTTTTGCCTTATATCTAACCTCATATCTACCCTAAACCTAACCACTTTTCCACAATATAAAATGTAAAAATTACAAACATTTGTACATTTGGCTTTTATCCAAAGTGATTTTTACTGCATTCAATCAGTTCTCACTTTCCCTGGGAATCAAACCCATGACCTATAGCCCATGTGATCTTTGCCACTGACGGAACTGAGCCATATGAACCATAGTTGGCCCAGATGAGGCCCTGATATGCATGCTATTGCCAGTTATTCAATGTGGTGTGTTGGCCACTACTGGGCCAGATGTCATTTGATGATGTAGTTCACTACATTTAATGTAATGTTAACGTTATATTTGACATGAGCCGATTTTATTAGTGCGAGCCCTGCACTGAGGCGGGCTGTTTGTAGAAATGAACACTGGGCTGTGGGCATTTTATTACACTCATAACACCATTGGCTGTGGCCGGAATAGCAGAAAACACTACACTGCTTATATGAATTTATCTGGGTTACCTTAGAAACGGAATTTGTGTGCAGGCAAGCGTCCGCATCGGTCGAGCAGTCTTTCTCCTCCGTTAGCTCTCGCCAGCGAGCGAAGCGAAAGCTGGACCAATGTGTTAATCCTAGTCGTGGCTTTTAATTTGTCACTCTCCCCTTTTCTTTTTTAGTTTCCTCTGATAAAACCGTTGCCTTCTTCCTTGTAGCTGTTGTTCGGCATGACGAAAGCATACAGACGGCAATCAAACGCGAGTTGAGCACTAACGTTAGATTCTGAGGAAGTTGTGGGTGGTGGGGGAAGTGACGTATGCGGTCGAATTTTGTAGTTCTTTTTGTGCTCGGGTTCCTACCCGAAACCCGAAGTTACAAAGTGCAAGTAAAAGCGATACAGACACCTTCAGGAGACGGCAGACGCGTCATTCAACCTATTGTAAGTCGATGTACCATCTCAATGGGTTTTGGTAATATATTATAAAGGTTGAAGAGTTCCACGGTGTGGCTTTAAGTTTTTAATGGGTGAAAATCCTCCTCTGTGAACACATTCACATTTTATTTAAAAGATACATCTGAAATTTACCATGATGCAATCGGTCCAAAAAAAGGCTGTGGTAGCGTTTCAGATAGGGGTCATGATTAACTTTGGGCATGTTCCTCGTGCAGAGCAACTGTTTTGCCTGGGAAGACTTGGAATGTTGGCAATTTTCTGAATGAATTTTTGTTAATCTGAATTTGTATCTCACTGTGACGTCAACATACTATGGAAGCTTGTGTCCGCCACAGAATAAATAATAAAAAAGGTAATTACAACTTTTTATCTCACAATTCGGACTATTTATCAAAACCGTGTGATATGAAGTCGCTATTGTGAGTTATTAAGTCGTAATTGCATGTTATAAAATCAGAATTGTGAGATATAAACTTTGAGGAAAAAAGTTTTTTTTTTCTTAGAATTGGACTATATAAATTGCAATTGCGAGTTTATATCTCACAATTCTGAGAAAAGATAACAATTCAATCACAATTATGAATTCACAATTCAAGTCACATTTCTGAAAAAAAAAATATATATATATATATATAAACTCGCAATTGTGTGTTATAAAGTCATGATTGCAAAATAAACTCCCAATTGAGAGAAAAAAAATCTGAATTGTGACTTAATATTACGCAATTCTGACGTTATATCTCTCAATTTTAAAATAAAAAGTCGCAGTTATCTTTTAAATGTTTTATTGTGTGGCAGAAACAAGCTTCCACAACACACAGTATGTTATGATGACAAAATTATACCCCATTATATAGTTTCATGATAAAATTACCATGACTTACATGCCAACCCACTGATAGCAAAAGTTTCTCATTGTAAGCCGCTAAAGGATTCCTTTCGGTCGAAATGTAAGGACTTCTTGGACAAGTGGTCGGATCGGACACCATGGAAGTGAGAATGGGTTGATTTTGTCTTGTTTGTGTGTACACCTTACTCAAGTTCAATGACTAGCTTTTGCTCATCATCGCTACTGCTGTTACTGTCCTCATGCTCCAGGTAACTATTGCCTAAATAGAAGAGTTTAGGCTCTGCTGAGTTGCTATGTACGGCTGAGGGACATATTTGCGGCTCTTGACTGGACATTAGATTTGAAGCATTGCAATAACTGGCCCCACTACTGGATGATGAAGTAATACTTGTACTGACAGACTCAATCTTCAAAGCGCCACAGTTATTTTGCAAAGCGCTGACTGATACAGGTGTGTCACTTGTTTTGTGCATCTGAACCTGAGATCCTTTTGAGTAAATGAAATAGATCATCGAACCCCTTGACTGCGTTTCCTTTTGGAATTCATTTTGCATGGTATTCACTGATTGCCTGGATGTTTGACTGGAACTGGATGTCTCCTGTTGGCTCTCTTGAGAAGTGCTGTTCCCCAAATATTCACCCATGCTGGTGTTGTTGTTACATTCCCCTTGCCCTTCATGTTGACATGTTTGTGAAAGGATGTTCGTGCAAACAGACGCTTCTGGATTGTTTGAATCGCTGATTTTTTCAGGCTGAAGTGGTTCTGAAATGTTGAGGGACACTTTCTGATGTTCCTCACAAGACATGGCCTTTTCCTGTTGTCAAAAGAAACACAAAATTACTACATATTACCTTAACAAAGCCCAAAGTATACAAAGTATGACAAAACACGTGTGACACAATTTCATCCCCTGAATAGTAGGCACGGTTTTGTAACTGTGCCTACTTTGAATACGCAGGCCACACATGTGCATTTAAAGGAGCTGCATGCAAGATTGTGGCTAAAACTGGTACTGCAATCACTTTCAAATTTTTGTAAAATGGTGTATCCCCTTCTCCCTTGACTCGAGGTTGCTAGATATGCTGCAGGATCCAGCAGGAATAGGCTGCTACAAGAAGCTTCCAATGGCAAGTGACGCGTCCTACACAGTGAGTTTTTTTCTGTTAATCATTTATTTCGGACTTCGTCACGAAGTATTTTGGAATCATATCGAGTTTTTTTTGGTTTCGCAACATTAGACATTTTTTTATCCGATTCCGACATGTTTGTATCTGCAGCTGTGGTAACAAGAGAAGATCTGGCAACCCGAATGCCGCAATACTACTGACTCCGTGATTGATAGACGGGTGGAGGGTGGCGCATCAGAACACAATACAACATGACAACATCAACATCAGTTGAGGGCTTCAACTTCACTTTTTAAATGACAATATCCTGGCTGGACTGCTGTTGTCAGTGATATAAGTATTTTAGGGTGTATTCACACCAGGAAAGTCCGATAGTTCACTTGCTTTGGTCCGGACCAAATAAATTATTATATATTTTTTTTGGTACGGTTCGCTTTCACACTGCTCTTTTTTGCAAGTGAACCAAAATTTGTAAACCAAACCACACGTGTGCTAAGGTCGTCCATTCATTGGACAAGAATTCTCAAGGGAAATCAGGAAGTGCAAAAAAGGCTCAGCATGGAGATATATTTCCATATTTCATACTGCAATATTTGTTTTTTTACTAATTTTGTGTTAATTCTGTACAAACGCAATGAAGAAACTAATGAGTATCAACGATACAATGTCATCTATACGAAGTTGTAATTCGGATTTTGAGAAGACGGCGAGTGTAACGTTTGAGTGGCTCTATAAACGCGGGGAAATACGACAACTCTCGTCTCTCGTGCATCTTTTCATTCGACCACCTTCTGTTTTTTTTTTTTTATCCTCTGGGCAACATTTCAACCTTGCGTTACAAGTGGCACTGCACAGAAGACGGAGAAGGTATAAAGTTTTTATTCATAGAGATAGGCTATGTTCACTCATTCAAATAATGAGATTCTTATTGTGTACTAACAAGTGCTGTCAGTGTTAACGCTTGCGATTAAGTTTGTCCAGTTTAACGTAAATTAACGCATCAGCATCCTCGTATTGTAACTATCCTTACATTAATAATAATAATAATTCATTACATTTATATAGAATTTTCCTCTGCACTCGCTTTAAGGGGGAAACTCGTCAACCACCACCAAAAGGTGGTGAACTGCAAATGATATTTTTTTTGCATCTTTGCGCGATTAGACATTCACACACGACGCGCAGAAAGACGTGCAGAAAGACGTGCAATATTCTCTTTCGACGCAGTGCTTTCTTGCAATTGGGTCGGTTCATGTTCACACCGTAAACGAACCGTACCAGAGTTTGTTTGGAACCGTACCGAGACCACCTCTTCAGCTGGGTCTCGGTTTGGTTGTTTGGTCCGCACCCGAGTTCGATTGCTGTATTCACACCTGCCCAAAAGGTCCGCACCAAGGGGACAAACGAACTAGAGTTCGATTCAATCGAACCAAACAAGGCAGGTGTGAATACACCCTTAAATTAACATTATTTCTTAATGTCTAGTGACATATCAGGGGAAATTTATGATTAATTGAAATTAATTTCTTTCATAAAGCTCCTTTAATTTGTTTTGCACTAATCGGGCAAAACACTTATTCAAAATAAGTACCTACTCATGAGACTGTGCGATTATGGACACAGTCATAGCATTTCAAGTGATGCAGGCTTGACAAATGTGCTCTAGAACGTTTCATCTTTGTCATAGTAAAATCCTCTCCTGTGGCCTCATGGGATATGCACACTTCAGAATCTCAGCAGAAGTAGTAGATCCTCCGGGGACCTTTCTCCTGCTCTTTAATGAGTACTGCTGAATTCACACATACTTATTTTGTCACATGCTGTTTTTCACCTACTATATAGTAGGGAAGTATGTGATTTGTGATTTGGGTGTATGTGTTTGACTGTACGCATAAGAAAACCTAAGTATACTTTAGGGCTGGCTGGGTCATGCTGTCGGCCGCTCTCTAACACTGTCTGTTGAGTGGATGTGAGGCAGTGCTTTATGACATATTAATCATCAAAATAAAACACTAAAATATGCTACTATGTGGAGTAGTAAAGTATCAGTTAAAGTAAACATATACAGCTGTCTGCAGAGGTTTACCACAATCCACAATACCACAGAGTAAAGGGACTGAATAGCTCTTTCCACAGTGTGAAATTTGTCCTGCCATTGCCCTCAGAGCTATTCTAAACACCTGGTGGTGTGTGTGGATTTGAATGTTTTTTTTTTTCAGGAAACACCAAACCATCGGCCATCATCGGGTCATCAGTGAGGGTCAGTATTTGTGGTGTATTCTGGCCAGTGGTGTATTCAGTGTTTTTTTTTTTTGGCCAATTGAGGATGTTGAATCGCCATTAGTCAGTGGATGAGACAGATCACCTTGATTGGCTGTTCAGTTTAGCGAACCAGTGCACAAGATGATTAGCGAAAGTAATGAAAGTGAGCAAATGATGATGTCATGAGGGCACACACAATAGGCTGTTTTAATTTTACATCTTCATCTTTTATAACGATCCTCATATTTTCACAACGACATGATGACGTCTGGAACTGATCAACATCATAATCAAAATGGTAAGAAAGTGTTGCTTTGTTTATGGATTGTATATGCTCATTTCCTTTTTTCTACTGTATGATGAATATAGACTGTTATTTCCTCTCAATCAGGCACAGAATGTACAGTCAAACCTACATTTATTCAGACACCTTCAACATTTCTCACATTATCACAGTTGCACGATAGACAAATGGTAGTTAAAATATGAGGTTTAGAAAATGGTAGTTAAAATATGAACTAGGAATAATTAGATAAGTGGATATTTCACTGGTTTTGTTCGACTCTTAAACATCAATTATGTTACTTATCAGTCAGCTGTCAAATTTAACTACAGAAATGTATAATACCAGTTTAGCTCAATCAGTTACCAAGCAATACTTCATGTTGTTCAATCTGTGTGTAAAAGGAGCATTAGCAATTAAAGAAAAAAATACAATTCAACAAAACATGATCAGCTCAAAGTGTCGGAATAAATTTTGGATGACTGTATATACCCAGATGTCACATTCAGTGTTTGGTGTGTCACGTCATTTCTTTCTTTTCTCTCACCTTTCTTTTGTCCTGTTTTCCATTGTCTTCACAGCCTTGGCATGTGAAGGTGTGTGTGTTTTCAGTGTCAGCCATGTCTGTGCTCGGTCTCTCTCCTTCTCTACCTCCAATCTTCGGGTCTTTGGGGATCGATTCCTTGCTCTCTGTCCCAGGATCCCTCCGAAACCTCAGGCTTTTGAGGGTATCATCCTCCCCAGGCCCTGAGAGCAGACCAATTACAGAATTAATAAATGCTGCCTCTTACACAGAATACTTGATTCTGATTGGTCAATCGTGCCAACCAGCGGTATCTTATTCCCAGATAACAACTCCTTAAAAGAGATCACCTGAAGTCATCAGCGCTATACGCTCGGAAGGGGTTTTCTTCATGGAAGTTTTGCATTTGGTGAGCTAATAAAATTTTACAATTCAGTCAAATCAATATTTTGTGTACAGTTATCCAGTATAATGGACTCTCTCTCTTGTTTTACACAAACACTCTGCCACCATTTTGTGAATATTGTTTTGTACACTTTTGGATTATAAGATACAAACAGGTGCGGTTTTAAAACAGTTTAATCTGAAATCAATATCTCTTAACTCCATAATTATTGATGTGGTGAAATGCTGTGTAATAAGTGTTGACTGTAAACCGCATCTCTTAAATGTCCGCCTAGTTTGAATTTGCCGCGCTAGAAACTGCTCTCTCCGCTTAAAGGATTAGTTCACTTTTGAAAAAACTTTTGCTGATAATTTACTCACCCCCATGTCATCCAAGATGTCCATGTTTTTTTTCCTCAGTCGAAAAGAAATTAAGGTTTTTGATGAAAACATTCCAGGATTTTTCTCCTTATAATGGACTTCAATGGGAACCAGGTCCAACCGACAGTTAATAACAGTTTCAGATGCAGCTTCAAATGTCTTTAAACGACACCAGACGATGAATAAGGGTCTTATCATGCGAAACGATCGGTTATTTCAAAGCTTATTCCAAAAATGTAACTTTTCTAAGGACAAATGCTAGCCTTGCTCTATTCTGTGAGGCGCGTTTGCAACGTCACGTAATACGTAATTACGTTCAAAAGGTCACGGGCGACGTGGCCGGAAGTACAGAATCAAAATCGTCCGACATCGTTGTTTTACCTTTTAATTTCTTTTTTGTAAACGCCGTTTGAGTTAGTTTTCACGTTCAACCTATGCGTTCAACTTGTAAACACTGACTCTGTACTTCTGGCTACATCGCCCGTGACCTTTTGAACGTAATTACGTATTACGTGACGTTGCAAACGCGCCTCACAGAATGGAGAAAGGCTAGTATTTGTCCTTAGAAAAGTTACATTTTTGGAATAAGCTTTGAAATAACCGATCGTTTCGCATGATAAGACCCTTATTCATCGTCTGGTGTCGTTTAAAGACATTTGAAGCTGCATCTGTAACTGTTATAACTGTCGTTTGGACCTCGGTTGGACCTGGTTCCCATTGAAGTCCATTATAAGGAGAAAAATCCTGGAATGTTTTCATCAAAAACCTTAATTTCTTTTCGACTGAGGAAAGAAAGACATGGACATCTTGGATGACATGGGGGTGAGTAAATTATCAGCAAAAGTTTTTTCAAAAGTGAACTAATCCTTTAAGCTTTGCGTTTAGACCTAATCAAATATTTCAACTAAGCTTTATATTTTGTGTCTAATTATTTACTTATGTAGAATATGTGTGTGTATGTAATATGTGTGTGTTACATGCTAAATTGTGAATACAAAAAATAAAAATAAAGAATAAACACCCCTTAGGCTGAAGAAGACCTGATCCTGATCACCCTGTCAGGGTTTTTTTCATTAGATATCAGACATCCGGCTGGATACAGTATCCCTTACTTTAAAGTCTGTTCTTGAAGCTGGGGCTCCGCTTTTTCTTTTGGTTCCTCAAAATTTGATTGAATGTCAATTCTTAAAAGCATTTCCAAGTATTGACAAATTCACTTCATTAGAGTATGGGAGGGTATAATAGTGATATGGGAGAAGTGTTACTTTTAATACGTTGTTAAAAACATGACAATTAGGTGCACACATGCCTAGTGGCTGCCTTTGCGGCAACGAAAATCTTTTTTGTCCAAAACTAATAAACCGGTCACAGAAATCTCTTTTAAACTGAACATCAGACTGATTTTCTGAATACATGTTGCAGCCAGAAAACATATGTACAGTAATTCAGCCTCCTGGAATTTATGCCTCATCGCAAACCAAATGTCAGCCAAATGAGGAAAAAAAAATAACGTGACAGTTTCACATTGTATATCAAGGCACACCGACCAACACATGCTACTATATATTATGGTGGTGGAGATATAAAAACAATTGTCCTGATGAAAAACAATCGGTTAGATTCTCTGGGGTGGAACTGGTTTGGCTGAACTCTTGCGCAGCATTGCTCAGTAAAGGAGGCTACGTTTGGCTCTTAGGTTTCCTGTCAGCTGTCTGGAATAAAGACCGGCACACAATCTCATTTTAACCTCTGGGTCTTGCTCTGGTGGGGACCATCTACCGAGCACCCTGTCTATTCCCTGAACACATCTGGCCAATCAAATCCACTCCAGTCAAGACTAGTCGGAGGATTAAGATTGCTGTAGATCAACTTCAAATCGACAATTCACTTCAACACTGAAGCATCCAGACTTTTTCTGTGAGTTTTCTTTAGCTTTGAGAAAAGAATGTTTTTTTTACAAAGAAGCTTATTAGAACGGCTGTATGTTTTGTTTATTCTAAGCCTCTCTGATCGACCCTTGACCTTCCTCATATTTGTTACTATGACTAATTGGTGGTGACCTGTGACCTAATGAAAGGGATTCTCTTACGAGAGCTATTTAGACAGGGATCAAATGTTTCCCTCGAACAAGTGACTCTAATAAGAGAAACATCAGGTCAGTGAAGGAATACGTCGGGATTACAAAGGTTAGGACAGGAAAAAGCCGCAGAGAATGTGATGACAACTTAATGATGTTCACCTTAGATTCACCCTTTTACACTAAAATCTTGGTGATCCTGCTGAATTTACTGCTTGAGAACTGCTATCGCTGCACGACTTGAGTATGCAAGACATGTGAGTGGTTCGGCAGCTTTGTCCTTTTGAACCACATAATTATTTTAATGTGTAGTGTTGCATCCCAATCTGAGATGTCTCTGGCGTATCAATTTGAGGAGGCACTACTAAAATGTGGGAGCTCTAAATTGATGTAATCAATGCTCGATCATGCAAGCATCCTTTTCTTAAGTTTTCATTCTTTATTCTGTAAACTATTTTACTACTTTAATTGCAAGGTTTTGAACGTTTCTCAAAGGATTGCATGATTTTGGTAATATTCTTATGTGACAAAAGCATGTGACTTGACATAATGCAAATGAACTGTTTTTGCTGTTTGGTCAAAATTCGTCTGTCATAAAGCATTGTCTATTAACAGAGAGATGGGAAGTTTTGATCTCTTGTCGCCATCTTGTGAAGAGAAAATGTTATGACATCCATTGAAATCAGTGTTTATGATTTATAATGTCCCAGAAATTTGTTCTGAGAATGTTTTGCTAATGGTCCCTGTACTTTCAAAAAATGAATGAAAATGTTATTTCTTAATGTTCTCTGAACTATCAAAATGTGTATCTAGTTTTAAAAAATTATGTTTTGCAAAATGTTACTTTAAATGTTTTCTGAACATTTAAAAATGTATGATGAAAAATGTTTGAGAACATTAAATACCACAACACTGAACGAACATTGCATTAATGGGCAACACTTTACAATAAGGTTCATTAACCAACTAAGAATGAACTAATGATTCTTATTATAAAGTGTTACCCATTAATGTTATCTGAAGATTTTTTTTTTCATAAGTTTGAGAAAATCTTCCCAGAATGTTAGACGAACTTCTGAGAGCATTCCCTGTTAGCTGGAGTCTATGGTTGTTGTTTTTTCCACATGCAAGAACTGTAAACAGCATGCTAATATTACCCAACAGAAATATATAGTTATTTGGTCCCACCTGTAAATGTTTCCGGATTGGCATGGTGTGTATGGTCATCTCCACATTTGGTGCTGTCTTCAAGGATGCTCTGAACGTTAGATGTCCTGTCCATTGGGCATGATGCTTTTATTTGACTGTGCGTGTCATTCACAAAGTCACCATGGCCTAGAGCAAAGGCCTGTTGGAGTTCATACTGTGTAGGTGTTCGTCCTGGACCACACGTTTCCGTCGGTAGGGTCCCATGCGCGCAGCTGAGCTTACCTGTGTCACATGCTCTGATTTTCCTTGTGTCTAAATTTGAGTTGCCACAGTATGGCTTGTTAGGCTCATTGGAGTTTATCACGTTTTGCATCTGCTGTGAATCTGCGATAGAGGTCTTTTTCTCACAAATACAAGTTCTGAGCTGTGCAGTTGTCTCAGTTGTTTCAACCCTCTCAGCATTTTCTGATAACGTGACTGACACGAGGTGGTCTGTTTCATTAGGCTCCACTGGCTTAGTTTGAACGTGATTTGGCTCCATTATCTCTGTGAATATTTGATCCTCAGAGGAGCTAACCAAATCTGGGTAACGGACAGAACACTTTTCGGCCTCTTTGTAATTTTCTCTTCTAGAATCGTTCTTGTCCACTGAACGAGGATCGTCTCCAGCCACTGATTTGTAATGTGACTCTGCAATAACCTCAAACTCAGCAGGTTTTCTCTCCTGGGGATTCTCAGGGATCTTCTGTGGTTCATACAACTCTCCATTTTTATTGCAATCCACTGAGGCTGTGAGATGAATCTTTGTCTGTGGATGTGACCAAGATGACACAAACTGAGGGCTGTCGTTTGCATAACTTTTAGCATTTTGAGAGTTTAAACTATTAACAGTTTCTGCTTTGTTTCCAGAACTGGCCGATTCACGACAACTGGAAGTATTATTTTTTCTCACCTCACCATTATCTACCATTACCTGTTCCATGCACAGACTAGTCACATCATTGCTATATAACTCCTGTGAAAGTGATGTATGGTTTGTTAAAGTGAGTGAAGTTGTTGTTTCAATGTGAGGCTCTATCAGTGCTAACTGTTCATCGGATATGATCTGCATGACGATCTGGAGGTCAGCTGTTCGTACATAAAACGTGTTTTGAGCCTGTGCTGAGCCATCTAGTGCCATCACCTTTCCTTCAGACTGGGACCCTTGAAAGTCACACCCAGTGGCCATTATAGAGGCAGTGCTGTTTAGCGTATTCTCATACACTGTGGATTTAGTGTCTGCTGTGAGACCACTATGTTTTCCTGGTTCACTCACAGGGGAGGCAGGATGGTTTTGAATTGTTGGTGGAGGATAGATTTGTAGTCCAGTTTCAGAACAATAAATCCCTGCTGACATTGAGTTTGTTGATGCGACAGGTTGAGAGTCCTCTGAGGTTGTTAAATGCATTACAGACGATACAGGAACTGTCGACTGGCTTTCCACCACACCTGTTGCACAGTTGCTTTGCAACAAAGACACTTGCTTCTGCACTGGTGGAGGTAGCGTAGCAGAAAACAGTGTAGGCGTGGTAGACTGAAGTTGTGTCAGGACTTTGGATGAACTGTTTGTGTGATTCAGCCCTGAACAGGAAACCGATGACATAGGCATTGAAGTTGTCGCACACAATACATCTTGATTGCTCTGGTCAAAGGTTGTGACTATTGAAGCCCCCTGACTCTGGTTTAAAGATAATAAACTGTTCTCAAGATGGCATTGCACTGTAGTTTGACGGCTTTGCGTGAGAGCTGGAATGGTTGAACAAGTGTTGTGTTTTAACGTGGATCCGGAAGAAGAAGTCGACGCTCCATCTGTGGAACACGGGATCTTCAGCTGGTACTTTGGAGGAAAGCTGGTCTTGGCTTGAAGGACAGTAGAGCTGGTGATAGAACCAGATGGCGGGCCAGATGTCCCACTTACACTGATGAAGCAAAGTGTATTACCAAGGAACTGACTTGGATTTGAGAGCTGTTGTATGAAGCTTCCCTGCGGGTGGAGATTTTGCATGGTGACCTTTTGTGCTGGAACTGTGATGGAAGTCTGCGTCGCACAGGTTGATAGAAGTGATTGACTCATATTTCCATTTGCCTGTCCAGTTCTTGGATCTGAAATACTGGGCATATTCACATCATTCCCAGTGCGCTGTTTCTTCCTCTCTGATGGGATACGGCAATCCAAGTGTTGTGTTGCCGATTCATCCCTTTCCGTGTCTGCCCCATTTGCATTATTATTCTCAAAGCTGGCATATGACACTTTAAGGTCATTCACAGCAGAACCGGAAGTAAAGCTCAGAGACACGGATCGATTGTCTCTCTGTTGGTTAATTTGGGTTTCCAGGCTCTCTGCTTGTTCAGAGCTTGATGCAGTCTTTTTCATCTTCAGTGGATAGTCTTTCTCAGTATCGTAGAGTTTCCTAAATGTCCCACCTTTGTAAGTGTGCCACTTTGTGTAGTCAAATTTTTTGGCTTTTCTCCTGTTTCCTTTTATACATGACTCCGTTCCTAAATCAGTGCTGTCTCCATCTGAGCTAAGACTGCTTACACTACCTCTTTCAACAGGGGATCTCTCTGGAGGCAAACCATCTACCGCTACCTGCCTAACGAGTGAGCGATGACCTTGTGCATGCTGGTGTAATGATCTTAATGGGTAAACCTGCCCTGCACTACACCTTCTGCTAAGATTTGAATTCATTGCTCCATCAGTGGGTTTGACACCCATAGTGAAGGGTAAAGAACTGCTTCGTGTTAATGGTGCGTGATCTGTGCAAGTGGAGGGTTGTGTTGGCGCAGAGCTGAGAATTGCTCCACCTCGTCTGTCTTGATTTTGAGAGCTTGCGATGTGCTTGTTGCTCCTAATCTCAAAATGAAAGGAGTCTTTATAAGTGTACGGCACGGGAAGATCAATGCTTCCTTGTTTTGACAATACTGTCTTTCTTGGACGCACATTTTCCAGTTGTCTATTGTCCACCAGCACACTGTTGTCATATATGAGCTTTGAAATGCGTTCTTCCAGCTTTTGCTTCTCCTGAACGGACACCTTGCTTTTCCCGTCTTCTGGAGTCTGGGATGCACTTGCTTCTTGCTGGTCCATTGGAGTTTCTTTCAATGATTCCACGGTGTGATCGTGCAAACTTGCTCCAGGACTGCAGGATAAGTGTTGCTCACTGCCATCACTGAAGCCAGAGTCTGTACTGTCGTGGCTTTGAGATTTTCCCCGAGACCTGGGCGAATCCCAAGGTTTGGAAAATAAAGCCTCCTGCCTCTGAAGCGGTGTACGATTTGGAATCGACGAAGTACATCCGTCCTCACCTGTCTGTTGGATCGCAGGATTATTTTTAATGCCGACTGAAAACTCCACAGTTTTCCTCAAAGAATTGACCTTTTCTTGAAGTGCTGGTGTCGTGCTACATCCAACCATGGCAGCATTACGTAATGCCCATTCAATGCCAGTCACTGTAGAGTCTACCTGACTTGGTACAACAGGAAAAACCTCTTTGCTTCTCTTTACATCTCCGCCATTCATCTCCGAAGATGGACTGGTGCAGCTGTCCTTCGAACTCTCCACGCTCTCCTGGCTGCTGAAAGTGCCTTTGTCAGATTCGCTGGAAAGGCGTGCATGTGCCTGTGTGCGCTTGTGTTTGTAAAGGTTACTCTGCGTCTTGAAGGAAATGCCACAGGTAGTGCAGGGATACGGTCGCTCTCCTGTGTGGCAACGGAGATGTTTCTCGAGCACGCTGGGCTTCAGACAGTCCTTGCTGCAGTGTGGGCAAATATGCTTCCCATTAGGCTTTGGTCTGGCCGAGGTTGCTGGAGCCACTAGCCTTTGTTGTTGCAAAGCAGCCCTGCTGGCAATATGCAGTGTCAGAGAGGGCAGAGTCGAGTTGCTACACATCCCTGGCAGGAACAGTGGTAGAACCGTCGGATCCTGCAAGGCTCCAGATTGGGCCTGAGGGTATGTCTGCAGGCCAGGGGCAGTAACGTTGTGGACATACATAGTCGTAAAAGGGGCCTGAACATGCGTCTCCTTCTCTCTCCGTGCAGACACTGAACACTGAGGCTCGGTAGCTCTAGCAAAGCTCTGCTTGCTAGTTGCCATGGTAACACAACCCTTGTGATGCTGGGAGACGGAGATCACTAATTACCTAAAAAAAATGAAACAGTTTGATTATTATTATTTTTCATGAGGCTTGGACTCCTCTGGATCAAATAATTCCTTCCCCTATTTGAACTGTAATGCAGGTGATGGCAAGCTAAAGAAACCTAGATTTAACACCTTATTACAGATTACCATCATGTGAGTGGGTAGAAGCTACAAAACGTGTTTCAGAGCAGGCAGGCAATTCTGGACTTCAAAAGAAAATGGTACACCAGCTGAAACAACTGACTGAATTTGCTCAGTTTAGTAGAATGTTCACATTTGACAACAGTCGTATTCTACTCTGATCAGTTAATCATTGAAATGTAAAAATGTGACGAAGATAAATCAAGATGGCTATGATTATAAGTCTAGAAGGATATAAGTCTATTTAATGCAAACACATGGTCGATATTTGCATATTGCAGAAGCACCAGAGGAGTATGAGCAAAAAACAGCGGTGGTAAAGTTGTGACTCATTTCTAGAAAAATGATAGAATCAAGGACCTCCTACTGTACCTAGACCAGATTATTTTCACATTTATGTGAGGACACACATTTGTTAAACAAGCTCCACTTTATTAACCTTTTTTTTGTGTTTTTTTATCTTTTTAGTTTTGTATCACATGAATGCAAGAATGCTTGGGTTATGAGATATTTCAGCCTAAAAAATGACTGTTCTATTAAAAAAAAATACAGTTACACATTTTTTGAAGGTGACATAGTTACATTGTAGTTACTCAGATAGCACTGAGTAATATTAATATACTAAATGTACTTACTATAGAGTTACGGTTAGGGTTTGGATTAGAGTTAGTTACTTGTAACTATGCATAATTTACTGTTTTTATAAAAAAAAACTCTAACTAATAGTAAGTGTATATAGTAACATGAAAAATAAAATAAAAAAATAAAATAAAACATATTACTAGGACATTAGCAGAAAGTGTGTATGAAAGTTATACACAACATGCATTCTCTGCTTATTCTCTCTCTCTTTTTTTTAAATAATGTTTTTAAAACCTGTCTCTATGTATTCATTATTACACTTGAAACAATACTTGTTTGTTTACAGAATAGATTTAAGACAAATGTTAATTCACACTATGAAAATATATAGGAACAAGTTAAAAGTCAAGGCTTCAAATGATATAAACTAAAATAATACACCTTAACATTACCTTCCATCCTTGATTTCTTGCAGAAGTTACGTTTAAATACCCTATTATTTGTATTGTTCACATCCCTTTGTCTGTGTCCTATGTATCACATCACTATGCTAAAGAAAGATATTCCTATCAAGCTCATCAAACACAATGTAGAAGATCATCTTGTGTCACTCACCAGAACTTAAAGGTGACACTGCAGCAGCTAAAGGTGGTCCAATTAAATCCAAAATGTGGAAACCAAAATCCACCTTTGGAAGAGTTGACAAGAGCAAGAGAGGGACAGACGGATTGTGACTGTGGCACTTTCTCTCAACACAAAGGCCCCTGGTTCCTCTTCCCTCTTTAGTTTTCTTACTGTCGTTTCTGTTGCTGATGGAGGAAATACAAACGTCATTTATGCAAATGTGACTGGATGACGGTGGCAACACAATGTAAAAAGTACATGAGAGAGAGAGAGTGAAAGAGGAAGAGAGAAGTGACTCCCAATACCATTGAAAAAAAAAGTTCAGGGTGCCAGCACTTTGAAATAAAAGAACCCAAACCAAAGTGAAGACATATCGCAAAATGGAGTTCGAGAGAGAACGACTAAATGAGATGGACACAGCAGATAGAGAAGAGAGCAGATGGAGGGAGGGAGGGAGAGAGAGAGAGAGAGACTAGAGCAGCAAAAAAAGAACAAAAAACATAACAACTGAACTGACAAACAAAATCCCTGTTCAAAAGAGGAAGTGCCATGAACATGCAGACCCACCTAAAACAGAACACACTCACATGCACGCACGCACCCTCACACACATATGTTTGCAGCATATACCTGACTTCTGTTTCTGTCTTTTCTCACTCCTCCAGTAAACCATACACCCACACACAAAGGAGAAGTGTAACAGAAATCGTGGTGGTGTAACATTTAATGGTGTACGTATTTATATATTTTGATATGAAATGTTAGCCGATACTCATCAAAAGTAGCTTGTTTCTGGCACCCAGTGATTAGAGAGTACATTAGCAACCATCTGTGCTTTAAACTCAGTGCAGTGGAGGCCTCATTATTTCCTGTAAACAAAAGCGAAAGCAAATCCTCTGGAGGAATAAAATCTGATTGTATTATCCTTATGTGATAAATTGCTTTGGCCTACACTCTCTGCTCCTCGTGCAATTGGCATTATATCAGAAACGAAAAAAAAAAAATATATATATATATATATATATATATATATATATATATATATATATATATATATATATATAAATGATATATATAAATGAATAACAGGCAGTTTAAAGCAAAACTACCTGTTTAGAAATGTTAATATTTTTGAAAATGCAGGATAGAGGTAGAGAGTTGGCAAAATAACAGAATGAAAAACTAAAATGATATATTTCACATATATCTTAGAGAAATCTTGTGTAAAGGCTTTATTTTTATGTCTGACACGCCATCAGGGAAAGGGAGGGAAGCAAGGCTGAGCACACTTTCAACATCTGAGTCTGGCAAAAGATGTTCATTTCATTTTAGTCACTCAATTACTGCTGGCGACTGTCCCATCCAGACCCAAACATTCACCTTCTCCTTCTGTAAGAAATACAACTGATCACTGATCTGTTCTGCACATATGTCTACATCAGCGTTGTTGCACAAGCTTGCATTGTTCCAATTGCATTAGACACACACACACACACACACACACACATATATATATATATATATATATATTAGTTATTTATTATACTAAAATATTTATTATATTATTTTGCACCTTTGACATACTGACAACCATGCAGGTGGTAAAAGAGGAAGCCACAAGAAGAATCATGAAGAAGTTCATCACAGGCAGCCTTTCCACAAGCTGTCATTCCCTGCACACAAACACCATTATGAGAACACACACACACACACACACACACACACACACACACACACACACAAACACACACTGTCTTAAATAATGTAATAAACATACAATAAACAATCGAAGATGTAACATGAAACCCAAATGTGCATAACTGAAACGTATGCCAATGTTGTTTTCAATATAAAACATTTGCACAAAGCAAGCCAATCCACTATTCCATGTTGATAAGAGCATTAAAATGAGAAAAAATTGGAACAAAAAGAAATCAAAAGACATTTAGAACAGATTAAAATGCGTGATTAACTATAACATTAATGCGATTAATCGCGATTAAATATTTGAATCGTTTGACAGCACTAATATAAATATACCATTTTGAAATGCACCGATATGAAATTTCTCAGCTGATACTGATAGCCGATTATTCAGAATGATATCGGCCAATGTCGATACCGATATTTCAACGCGTTCTCATCCCAAAGCGCCATATAGGACGCTTTTGCAAAAGCGTAAATATCCAATTTGTTTCTTCTTATGGATCAAAAATCTCTCCCAAATAATGCTGCAAACTATACAGAGAACTATTATATCAACTGATTTATATTCCCAGATATAATATTTACACTTACTGTAAATAAAAGCTGAATTGTTTGGATAAAACTATATAAGTTACACATATAAGGCAGTTTTCATAAACACTTCTCTTCATTGCAAATTGATTCAAACATACAATTACAGTTTTTTTCAATTGCTAAGAAGCGTTTGCTAATTCTTAAAATATTTTTTTTTGTGTTAACTCTTAACACAGCAACACACCTACATCACACAATTAGCCAAATAGTTATTTTTCTGACCAAAACCACAGTTTGTTAAATAAATACAAACTGTACATTTCAAAACGCTAAAAATCTTTTTCTATATACACTAACTCTATCAAAACACTGTAAACCTGCTTCAAAATTGAATCATTTGGTCAAAACACTAGCACTCATAAAAACACATGCACTCAAAAAGTGCATTACTTGTCATGTTTCAGTTCTATCTGTATAGAACATACAGCATGAAATCCATTTTCCATGAATCCATGAATTCATGGTTCATTAGATAGATATTATGTGTACAACATAATATCTAAATATGAAGGAGTCATCAATACTTTATAGAATGTACAACTGAATAAAAAACAGTAACAGAATTACTGCAGTAAAGGCTTTATTAGCAATATGAAATTGCTGTCAGTGATCAACAAAACTGAGAAAAAAGAAAAAAAAAGAAAAACATACATGGCCTTTGGTATAAAGTGTGCAAAAATAAAACAAAATTACAGAAAAAAAGTCCTGTTCTAATCGATACGATTCAGCATTTGGCCACATGTTCTCGTCTACATCACATATGTTGTCTCTTGCTATACAGTGCACCTTGGATAGAAATGCTTGGCATGCCTTATCCACCCATTCTCCACTCCAGCCAGCATCCACATTTGGTCTTGAGACCGATGATCATAAACTTTCTACCTCCAAGCAGAAAGAAATCCTCTCATGAAATGCATGACTTACCTGTTGGTTTGTTGAAAAATCCGGATAATGGAAGCAAGGGTTGACCGTCTGAGATTAGGCTGGACTCTTTCACCAGCCTCACTCAATGATAGACCATGGTTTATCACATGGTCTATGATGGTGGCTCTGATTTCATCCGTAACAACAGCTCTTACTCCTCTTTGAACAGCACCACGCATTCTCCTCTTCCCCTAGCTCACCTTCTCCCTCTCCCATTCCCTTGGCCTGGTCAAACTAGTCCTCTCCATCGTCCAGGCATTTTCTTTCTTTTCCTTTCTTTGGTTCTGTGTTGCTTTGAACAAAACTAATCCAAACAGTGCCTTTTTTATTGTGTATATCCATGTAATGGAAAGTCTTCAACATCTGGCTATGTCTCTGATTGAGATTGGAATCAGCTATTTCTTACGGTAATGATCAGCCATTTACAGTTTTTTTCAATTGCTAAACGACAGTGAGCACAACTGGAGCTAAATGTGCAAAACTCTAACTACAGTCTGCATTACCAACAGTCACCTGAACACAACTCTTAACACACAAACAGGCTCAGTGTGCACAACACTATGCACAACCCTCACTGAGATAACACACATTGTCTCTCAGAACAAACTGAGAGGAAAAACACTCGCATCAAACACCAATACAGAAAATACAAACTTTTCATCTTTACAGTTTCAACAATTTCTGTGACTTTATACAAAGTAATATTTTCTTCAAAGAAAAGAGTGACATTATTCATTTGATTTATTTACATTTTTAGAACATAACAATTGAAAATGAGCAGTTTGCTTCAATAGTCTGTAGTATTACAGTAATGAGAAAAAAGGTAGAAACTACTTACAAAAAATTACTGCAGTTTTTTTAGAAGTAATACTGCATGTAGAAAATGCAGTTCCCTTTCGTAGTCACTTCGAGTTACGTCAGAAGTGACGGAGATTGGGGGTTTCGCATAGAAAGCCAATCCTCTTCGAGTATTTAAAAACGAGCCAATGGCATGCAATGCCTGCCTCCACCCAGCCGTCGGCTCTGACGCCTTCGCCCGCTCGCCGCCGAGGACGCCCCCCTGCGGCTCCCTTCCCTCCCACGCGGCCCCAGCAGCAGCCTTCAGCCGGTTCGCGTCGCGGAGGAGGCCACAGGTAAGCGTCTCAGCCCCCTCAGGCCGTGTGCCCCGCTAACGCCAGACGAAGCGATGTTCCTGAGGTGGGCCGCTCAGTGATAGTTTCATGGTTTTTCTCAGGAGGCGGTAGCAGGGCCCCTCCTTCCCCCGGTGGAGGGCCGGTGGAGAATCTTTTTTGTTCTAGCTAGCTCCTTGAGCTGGTTGAGGAAAAGCTGACACTATCATTGAGCACACAGACTGGAATGAGCGTGCACGACGTCCAGTGCGTCGCCCCGTTCATTCCTCTCTGTCTCTGAGGGTGCGGATGGGAGCATGTGTCGTCCCCCGACTACACTACTCCCCTCCCCCTCTATCGCCAGACCCCCGGCAGAACAGACCCTGGTCTCTTCTGTCGGGGAACGGGGCTCGACTGTGCATCCGCACAGGGTAACTCCTGTGCGCATGCCGGTCTACCTGTACCGCTGCCCCTCCGGGGGGACGTCTGTGCAATCGAGACGGTCCCTCCAGCCGAGGTGAGGTCCGGGTCTACAGCCCATACTTCACTGTCCCCAGAAGACCGGTGGGTTACGGCCGATCCTGGATCTGCGCATTTTGAACCGTACTCTCCATCGACTACCGTTCAAAATGCTCACAGCCAAACGCATTTTCGAATGCGTTCGGCCTCAAGATTGGTTTGCAGCGATCGACCTGAAGGACGCGTACTTTATGTCTCCATATTGCCTCGACACAGACCGTTCTCGGTTTGCCTCGAGGCCAGGCATCAGTACACGGTTCTCCCTTTCGGGTTAGCTCTGTCACCTCGCGTCTTCACGAAGATCGTCGAGGCAGCCCTGGTTCCCCTTCACGAACACGGGGTTCGCATCCTGATTTATCTTGACGACTGGCTGTTACTGGCACACTCTCGAGAACAGGTTTGCGAACACAGAGACCTGGTGCTCCGGCACCTAGCCCGTCTGGGCCTTCGGGTCAACCGGGAAAAGAGCAGACTTTGCCCCGTGCAGACGATCTATTTTCTCGGCATGGAGATAGACTCAGTCGCCATGTCCGCGCAGCTCACG